ATAGAATTTTCTTCTCGCTAATCATTTCCGTGTAATTTTTTCATAAGGTTTATTCAGTCTACTTGTGTGTTTTGTAGCTCGTTAAACTGTTTCGGTTTTAAGTTGATAGCGTTATTCTCATATTTTATTTTGTTAGTGATGTTTTATATTAGCAAACAATAGATGTTGTTGTTGGTTTATAATCAGGCTTACTCGTTACCGCCATAATAACTAGTTATAATGTAGTCACAATATATGGTTTACTTTTTCTAGAAATACGAAGAAGTTTTTGAATATTTCTCATTAAAAAAGGGAAAAGTTTATCTGTTTATTATTCTAAACCCTCTCAGTATTGAAATGCTATTCACGACCTATATTTATTAGATTAATTAAATAACCTGTTAAATAATGAATTATTTTGTTAAAATAGAACTATGTCAGTGGTATTGTGTACGTATCGTTGTTAATCGTGGGATAAATAGTTGTCCGTCAAACAATTTAACTGTTTCTTTTATCGGTTGCTCATTTGAATGGCATATTCATTTATTATTGAAACGCTGTATATTGTTTCCACAACTTTTTTAATTATGGTCTTTTGTTTTGTTTTTACAATGAATTTATTTAGTTAAATGTGTCTATCAACTTTTCTTTTATGTTGAATATGCAAGACCAAACTATAGGTCTTATATTTATCCTACTATGAATTTAGGAAATCACACTCGTAATGCCTAAATATGTCATTGTTTGTGTCTACTTAGGTTCAAATGTCTTATGATCTTTGTCAATGTATTCAAGAATGCTTTTCTAGTTTATATTCAGGAGTTAATAAAGTGCACTATCGATTAGCGCTATCTCAGATGTAGCTCTCAGTGGGACACCAACGCCAGCTAAACCAGGTGATGCCACAGGGTCCTCGAACAAACGCACGTGAAACGGGCTTCCCAAAGTGACTGATGTAAAACAAATTCGTGGTAAATTAATGAATTCCTGTATGGAGGCTTGGGATAGACAACATAGTCAACCTTATATGTTGTCCAATTTTCATCAGCGTGCAAACGTTTAGGAAGCCAGTTTGAAAAGCCTACGTGGTTTCAGAAAGGCTGATCTCAAATTCCTATCCGATGGTAGCATTCAACTTTCGACCGATCAGTAACTTTAGGACGTTTAGTCGACCTTCTGTATGAGTTGAAAAGTCAAGTATTATACAAAGTGGGAGAGAAAACGAATAGACAGGTGACGTACTGCAAGATATGAACTAACGTTATCAAGTTATTGTAAATATAATTTGTGAGGGTGCAGATTGAAGCGACAGTAAATTTTTTCATTTATCATCATTTTTCGATTTGTGTGTGGGCTGAGATACCTAGAGTGAGGTTGGCAGTTTTCTTAGGGAGCCACTTCAGAGCCTTTAACCTAGAGATATAATCCACGAGGCAGTGGAGCAACGTTAGGGCACGCGATCCCACGGTAGCCGATGACCAAGAATAGGTTTATATGCCATCTGTCCCCTCAGGATCTTGGGACCCATATACACTACTGGTTTGCAATCAAGGTTTTCCAACCATTCCGGGTGGACCTTCCGAACCCCCAACCCAGTTTAAGAACCGGATATTTGCTTTCCATTCTTTCAACTTTGCAATTAACACCGCCACAAGAAACCAGTGAGTACAACTTCCCTAGCAGTTGGTATATATGTATATATATGTGGTCGTATTAAAGAATTTCTAGAGGGAGAGTGGAATCTTCGCAATTTCCGCCGTACCTTGGCAGCTTGAAGCCATAGAAGTGTTTGTGAGATGGTGGAGAAGATTTGTAGCTCAGGTGGATGATTTTGGTAGTGTTTTGTTCTCTGAGCTGGATGGTTTGGTCGTGGAGCTTTCATCGTTCTTCTGAACGACATCATCTGCACAAACTTCAGATTGAAATGAAGTGTTCGAATTTCTCCATATGTGTTTCACAGCTTGTTCTGTGCACCTCGATGTTGATTGGTTCTTGTTGACCTTAAATTTATCATTGTTTACTTCATTGTTTTGATTGTGTCTCCCATTGGTTTGATTTTTGTTCCTATATTTATGCATGATTTTCCTGATTGGTTGATAAATTGGATTGATTTCAATATGTTTGTTGATTGCTGATTGACCTGAGTGCCAAGCTTCTAAAAATTCTCTGGTGTTTTTGGAGTTTCCTCTGTCTAAGATTTCTACATTTTCCCAATCGAATGAATGTCCGTAGTTATCCACGTGTATTGATATAAGTGAAGAGATATCATGGCGTTTGACTGCTAATTGATGTTCATGTAGGCGTAGGTGGAGGGGGCGTCCGCTTTGTCCGATCTAGTGTTTGTCGCAGTTGGTACAATTTATTTTGTAGATGATGTTTGTTTGTTTTCCTTTGTTATTTCATCTTTTGGTTTGCATAGGATTGATTGTAATGATTTTGTTGGTTTGTGTGCCACACCTATCCCGAAGGTTTTCAGCAGTCTCGTTGTGGTTTCTGATATTCCTTGTATGTACGGTAGGGTGATCCTTTTGTTGATTTTTGTGCTTGATTTGGGTTCTGATGCTGTGTGCCGTTGGTGCTTTTTGATGAAGTTGATTGGGTAGCCGTTCTTTTGAAATATGTCCTTTAGGTATTTCTCTTCATTTTTTCGTGCTGCCAGTGTGTTGCAGTGTATCCTCGCCCTCTTGAACAATGTGTGTACGCAGTTGATTTTGTGAGCTCTTGGGTTGTTGCTGTTGTAATTGAGGATTTGATCTGTATGGGTCCACGACCAAACCATCCAGCTCAGAGAACAAAACACCACCAAAAAAAGTGTTTGTATATATTTTTCTAAATATAAAAGTACAGCAATATGTACTTAGTTAAATATTTGCGGCCATTAACATTCATAATGATTAATATTTTCATCACTCGTTAAAGATTACTTTTCATCAAAACCTGCGAGGTGTTTCTAAACTGTTCGTAATCGATGTTTTCTTGAAAATTTCATCAGTCAAGGGAATAATTTTTGTCTATATGACTTACGATTACTAAACAGTTAATGTATTTAATTCATCTTAGATTATCTACTTCTTTGCACGGTTTGATGACTTTGCTTCCATATAAAGTGACTTGTAAAAAGAAGGTGGAAATGGATAGGACATACATCACGGAAATCACCAAACTGAATCACAAGGCAAGCCCTAACTTGAAATTCTGAAGTTACATGTAAAAGAGAAAGGCCAAAGAAAACATTACGTCGGGAAATAGAAGCAGATATGTAAAGGATAAATAACAACTGGAAGGAGCTGGAAAGGACTGACCAGGACGGAGTTGGAGGCAGAGTGATGGTGGGTGGCCTATGCTCCTCCACGAGGATTAACAGGCGTAAAGAAGTGAGTAAAGGGTTCCAAATACAAATTTAATTTGGGCATCACACTTCATTAGAGCGGAAAAATTTGGTATAATCTATTTCATTTCACACTGTAGCTAAATAAAAATGAATATAGGTTTTTATATATTAATAATTGATCAGTAATATAATTTTATGGATAACTATTGTTAGTTAAAAACTACTGAGAATAGTAAAATATAGAAAACCAATTTATTTGCACCGTATAATTATTTTAATCGCTATCGCATGTCTATAAAACTCTTTTTCGGTAATGAAATAGTTTGAAAATCCTCAGAATCAGTCTTATGAAATAACTCAAAGTTGAAATATTTGGCTACGAAATATTTGCATATCTAAAATGTATATTATTCGTATCCGTATTTCAGCAAATGTGATATTATTATAGATGCTCAATGAAGTGTAACATTCATGGTTTTACTAAGAAGAATGTTTGTTAGAGTTATTTTCATAGTTGAATGGTACTACTTTATTATGATAGTTAAGTTTTTATGGTGCCGATAGTAACATCTAGGCAAAACACACTTTATATGAGACTAGTTTGGATGTTTTTTTGGATCAAATCGTTGAAAATACAAATGAGATAAAGTTTTGTGGATATTTATTATAATGTAAATTTATTTCAGTCGATTGATAGAATTCTACACGAAGTTTTTTTTAGTTTCTTTGTTCAGGTAAAACTGTTTGTTTATATTTTAAAAATCCTAAATTTGACTTCAGAATTTTTTAAAATAATGTTTAACCAGAAATTCTGGTTATGCAAATATTAACGCCGTTCTTCTGTGATTATATAGGGAATTAATTTCATCAATAAATGACAAAACTAAATGAAAACATCAAACTATCGAATCTATTCTTTCAGTAGGCGTAAAGACAGCATAAAATGGATATAAACAGTAGGAATATTCCGTTATTTATGAGGAGCTGTACACTAACATAAAGATTACTCATTTTATATAAACACTGGTCACCATTTTCAGATGAATCGATCACCAAGTTCTCCTGAATTTCTAACTTCGAAAGAAGAAAAATGGAGGTCATTTTACATGCTACTTATCTAAACCTGATCTCAACATTATTGAATTATAACAATCTCCTAAATATTCTTCATTAAAGGGTTAAAAAAAATCTGTTTTGCAAGACAAAGCTAACAATCCATCATTATTTATAAATCCTGACAAATTTCATAATATAAATAAAATAATTAAGATGACATTCTAATAAGGTTATTAACATTTTGATTGGAGATTGTACTACTACAAATTATTAATTATATACATGTTTGTCCTTGAACTGCTATAGTGCAATAATTCTAGGCATATTGCTTGGATATGAATGATACTAATGACTGATTTATACATATGTATCAAGTAAAATCCACTTTACTGACATTGATTTTGACCAGATAACTAATGTGACTTATCATATTCAGCAAATTAATGAGAGTAGTTTACTTGTTATATGGTATCTCTAATCATAACTATATTTTGATAGTTTAAGGAAGCTAGTAATCGTACAAAAAGTTTAGGTTACATTATTTAACACCTCAAACGTGTTAGTTGATAGTAAGCTATTCTAACAAATGATCAAGTATAAAACACTTGTCAAACATTTCAAATATTAAAATTCTTTTTGTTGAACCAAACATTATATTAAAATAACACATGTAGATCTTACTTTTCATCGTTCTTAATGAATATATAGCATTTTGTTGAAAAAGAGAAACCACTTATATGTATACCTGTTCTGATCATCCAGAGAAACTTAATTCTTCCTTTATAATGTTTCATTATTTTGTTCCATCTTTTTGGTTTTTGGAATACGCTTCTTTTTCGGCACTGAGTTATCCTTCACGATAGAATTGTCGTCGTAATTTTAACAGTTCTGTTGTTACAAAAAATATATGTACAATACTTATTAATCCAACTAGTATGCAAATCATTGTGATTGGATAATAAAAAACATTTAATTTGCCACACTTAATTGTAAAAGCAATTGCAATCAGTGGCATAACTATGCCAAATATTAAGTCACACATTACACAAAGTAACATTAATGATGCTGATGGAACTGATTCATAATGATATAATCCCATAGCAAGAGTACCAATTAATAGAAAACCTGCAGAACACCATAAACCAACACAGTAGCATTGTATACGATATGTATAAATTATATAACCAACTTCAATGGTCGAACAACATAATCCCATTATTAACATTAATAAACCTGTTATCATGGTAAAGAAATCCCATCTATCTCCATTATCACACCAATATTTACTGCATAGATCTTCATTTTCTGAAATCGGTTCACTTTCTACTATTTTTGTTTTTGGCATTATTTTAATTTCCCCTTTGATAAATAGAATCTATTTAGATAGAATTTCACAGTTTTTAACAGAAAATGTTTCTTTTTAGAAGAGAGATTTAATGCTCGCTCTATTGATGTGAAAAAATGTATTTGAAATGAATGTTTATTTTCTTCTATACAAAGATTGAAAATTCAATGTTCATAGATTATAAGGTACTTTATAATCAGCTCTAACATACAATTGTACAATAATTATTTTCATACGGTTCTACTTTTGGTAATATATATATAAGTAATAGTATTTCGCATCAAATAATTAGTAGTATGTGATTGGTTGATCAGTCCTCTTTAATTTTTGTTTATCACCACTTAAAACATAAATTCGAGTGACCTTGATAATCTAAATATAAGATTGTCTTAATGAATTGCATTTTAATTTTACCAGTAAGTTACATCTTTAAGTGTACTTATATTATGTAATTTTTGTAAGTTTTATTATTAAGATCAGATCAATGCAATTGATAAGTTGAGTTAATTATTTATCGATGCATTAATAAACAAATAGAATATCAGAAGGGGTTTTGTGGATATTATAGTAATTGTAATAGTTGAGATCATGAGTCAATTGAAGCTAGACCACCATGGAAAACCTGGAAGCACTGGACGGTCGTTTCGTCATCTTGTGGGACTCCTCAACAGTAGGCATCCACGATCCCGCCGCGCGAGATTCGAATCCAGGATGAGGTGATCATTCAGTGCTTCCAGGTTTTCCATGGTGGTCTGGCTTCAGTTGACTCATGATCTCAACTATTAAAATAGAATGTCATTTTCATTTCTATAAATGTATGGCTATTATGTTTGTATCGACTGACAGATGGATTGTATGTGATTGCTTTGCATTTATTGAATAATATTTATTTAATTATATTCGATGTCATCTACTTTCTTCAAACACTGATATATATATTCGTGAATACTACATCAGTTTTGAATGAATTTGAAAACTTCTATTTCTTCACTTACAATAAATTAAGTTTTTCTTAAAAAGAAAATTTGATTGTTTAGATCTTTGAAGTGTTGACATTTAATTCTCAGTTTATCTCTTTTGTTGAATACATCGAATTAATTAAATTTGAGTATATTTTATACACTGAAATATGATATACTTTTTAGAATGAAGATCTACAGATCTGTCTATAAAATTTCATTATACACAGTTTTTACTGAAAACAAACATTTTGTTTTATGAGTCAGTTGAAGCTAGTCCAACAGGTTTTCTATCGTGATCTAGCTTCAATTGACTCATGAATTCAACTAATAAATTACTATCATATCCACAAAATCCCTCTCTGATTTTCCTTTATTCCGACAAAAAATAAATCATCTTAATAAAAATTATTGGGCATTCTGCAAATAGTGTTAATGATGTTTGTTAATTTTCAAATAATCAAGAGACCTATGTGCACACTATTCGAGCAATGTGTACCCTTGAAAGATGTCTTATCAAAGTTATGTAACATCTTATTTTCTTGTTATAAATATGGGATTTATGCCAATCTAATCACTAGTAAGACACAACGTTACAAGTATATTACTGTTATAACGTTAAATGAAAAATTTTTCATAGATTGACCATGTCAATGGGATTTCATCAAACATGAAAGTTACCGAACGGAAATGAAAAGGGCGCTTTGTATGATAAATTATTGTGTTTATCTGAAACGATAAGTGTATTGATTTTACAGGAGTGCACAGGTAAATTACATAAGACATTTTATAACTCATAGTATTATCAAGTTTCAAATGAATTACTTAACGGGAAGCAGTTTATAGGTAAATAAATGATTTTATTCTTTTGGGTGATAATAATGCAATTAGTTTAAAACAGTTAGTTGATTTCACTTGGAGATTAAATCGAATACTCTTTGAAGAGTTGGTTAAAAATTTATTATTTAGTGTGGAAGGATTGATAAACTTTATAGGTATATATCACTGGCAAATGAATTTCCGATTCGCTTTCCATGAGATAAAAATGACATCGAAACCCTATCACTTAAGGATGAGTTATTATGTGTTTACTTACATACATCAAAACCTGTTTGCTAAATTGGTGGAATATGAATCTGATCTAAATTATAATAAAAATTTATTCCACTGGTTGACATACACAAAATTTGTGAATACTAAACATGTATTCTTAAGTTTACATTATGCTCATCAGCAAATTTCCAACAAGTGGATAATAGTAACAGAATACCATACGACGATGTCAATCAACAGAAACTTAAAACAAATAAACTCAACTGACAAATAATCAGAATTAGGCGTATTACAGTACCTTTTGCAAATGATTAGCGAGAAGAAAATTCTATATACAATTAAACAACCAGATATAAGATGCAATCAATAATCAATTTAGGGTGTCATTAAAACAATTATAGGGTCAATTAATTGTGTCATTTCATGCAAAACATTAAACAAAATTAGGTGGAATCTGATTTGTTTTGCCCTAATTATTTGTCACACTGGTTATAAATTTACATCTAACGTTTGATAAGAAGACTCGACAAAACAGTATTTTGTGTAACAGTAGTTAGAATGTCTAAGTTTATTTACTCGTGAATAATTGGAAAGCTCGTTTCTATAACTGACTGTCTCCTTGACCCAAGTCACTGTGAGATGTGAGTCGCACTACTCTCAAACACGAAACAGTTCATGTTAGTGGGATTGCGATTCAATTAATTGAAAGTGTGAATGCAATCAATTCGTTATCGTGATTTCCTCACACATAATCTTGTGTGTAGACCATCTGACTGATAATCGGTAGAGCAGAAGACTGTGCTTCGAACTATCGGATTGAAATAAACTCAACTGAACTCAAAGCCTGGCAATTGACATTCTACATTACACTCACTAATTACTGAAATCCATCGACCCATTTGGAAGTGTGGTCGAATAACAGATCAGTTCGGTCCGGTCACTCACATTTCAGGATGTTTAGTATCAGACGACTGAAACAGTGGGAACTCGATTGTGTGCTATCTCATTGGTTCAGTGATAAGAGCTCTCGATTTAGTATTTCTGATTATCTGACAGTTTCTCAACTGCTTCGACTATTTCCATCAAACTGAAACACGTGAATGAACCTGCACTTGCACTTGCACTTGTAATTGGACGATAGTTGGGAACTATTTAGTTCCACTATGTTATCCTCGTTGATAAACACAATCTTCGTGTGTGTACCGTTGAAAAATGTCAAAGTTCAATAAAGTCATTCTACATTACTCCCTTGTTTCCTTATTTCACTATCTGATTTCCATCTATGAAACGTTATTCACTCGATTGAAACAATCACCTCAAATCGTCTAGATGATTGCTAGACACTCTGTCGATCACATGCATTTTAGAACAGATCTCTGACATGATTTACTACTGTTGAGAGCATTCACACACATCACTCAGATAATTGTTTTACTTTTTGTGTGAAAATCCATGCAATTTGCATATCAGTGTAATCATTGCAATCATCACAATTATGATTATGATCGTGAAAAGCACACTTATCATGTGTCGTTTGCAGTTGAATGCAATTACAGTTATTCGATAAACTAATCAACATTTCTGTGCAAACAAGCTGACTGTCATAATATAGACAAGAAACGTGTAGTGTATCATTGAGTGATATTTTCAATATGAAGTGCTTTGTGATATGCATGGAACAGCTATATAGTTAGAAATGAGATTTACTCTGATCACTTACAAATGATAAACAGCAATTGAATAGTTTATTTTATAATTACTGAACAAATATTTTTATTAACTATTATTTTGAGAGCGTAGTTTGGTGACTCAATGAATCAGTAGTTTCGATGCTTGTTTTGTAACATTTTACTAATTTTTTTTCAGATGATATATTGTATCATATCCTAAGCTTTTTTCATGCAAACCTTTATATGTTATTTGTACTGTTATTCTGGTTAGACTAATTTATGGAGAACCTTTGAGCGACGCTTACGTGACCTTAAGTGTGTTCACCTAACAACCACGATCAAATAATGGTTATAAACCAGTTTGAGAAATAAGAATTGTGATTTACAGTTGATGGTTAATGTTAGGAATTTGACGTATGGTTTTATCACGAACTAACATCAGCTATAATGCAAAAACTCTATGTAACCAAATGGATGAGTGAATTTCGCACTAAAATCCGTAATCTTTTATTGTATACATGATTCGTTCGACCACAAATTATAGTCTCGCCGCATATCATCATTAATAATATTTAGGAAATAAGTTTTTCGATAAAACCTGTATTTGTGTGATTATGTGATGAGTTTGCCAAATAATGATTCATTTGTTTATTATCAGTCACTTGATCACGTAGAATGTAATACCTTCAAATGTTCCCACAAATTTTTATGTCACCCGTCTCTACTAGGATACAAATTAAAAATTCGCGTGTATTACTGGATGTTTTGCGAAATTCAACGGCTTTTATTTTTCATATTTTTTTCTCTATGTAGTTCATTCTTGGACACTTACCAAATCGCTATACTAAGAATCATTTTCGAGCAATCATTTTGAATTGGATTCGTCACTCTACACCAACTTCCTTGACTATGACAAAGCATTTGACGGTGTGGATTGGAGAAACTTATGGAACATACTTTGACACTAGAATGTGCCTGAGAAGATCGTCAGCGTTATCCTGAACTCATATGACGGATTACAGAGGAGAGTCGTGCATGGAGGACAGCTAACAGACGCATTTCATTTGAGGGGCGGAGTCACACAAAGCTGCCTACTCCTCTCTTTGCTCTTTCTTCTGGTGGTTGACCGAATTTTGAAGACCTCCCCATCTCGGCGTAAGCATGGAATACAATAGACAGGTTTGATGCAAATACACGACTTAGGCTTCGCAGACGACTTAGCTCTTCTATCCCATACACAATAACCAATGAAGGTAAAAAAAAGCTAGAATAGCAGCAGTCTCTACTACAGTAGACCTCAGCACACTCAATGAAAAAT